TGTAATGTATATTAATGTAAACTATGTTTTAAAGACAACGATGAATAATTTTTCATGATAAAGAAGTTTTGGAGGATTTACTGGTAAATTACGCATTTTAAAATAAGCCCCAAATAATGAACCAGGAGTTAGATAAATTATTTAATTTATATATTTTGATAATATATATAATATTTAGCAGTTGTTTTACTTAGAACACGTAAATCAAGACCTATTGAAGTTAATCAAAATAAGGAGAATAATATTAACATTCGCATTAGAGGAAAAGCAAAAATTGTTCTTTTATGATATATGAAAATCAGAATTATTGATTTGTTCAATTTTCATTATAACTAGTATATTGGGTGGTGATTCATGCCACCTTCTTATTCATTTTAAATATTGATAGCATATTTTAAGTAAATTTGTTAATAACTTTAGACTTATGGCTAATTAAAGTGAAATAAGAGGTATTACATTTATATACAAGAAGGACTCATATAATCATGAATTTAAAATTATAGTACATCAGCTATATTATATAACTCATCAAAATATGAACCTACACACTGTTAATATTATGAACCCCTCATTTTTGAAATTTAATTTACAATCCCACAAACTGTTGAATGACTAACTTACTATTAAAATTATTAACTCACTCCACTAAAATCACAAACTATCTATTATTAAATTAAATTATGAACCACTCACTGTTAAGAGCACCAAACCATTCACTGATAAAATCACTAACCCATTCACTATTAAAATCAATTGTACTATCTAATATTTAAATTATGAACCAACCCATTTTGGATTTTTTTTTAGATTTATTTGAAATTAAAACTAATCCAATATGTTTAAACTTTAATATTTTTTTTTATACTTATATTTTTTATTTTTTATTGATTTTATTTTTGTTGTTATATTCATAATTTTATATTTTAATAGCTAGGACAGAATATCGTATTAACAAAGAAGTCATGAAAAAAAACCTTCTACAAAATTGATTCTAATTGTAATATTTTTATGAATTATATGAATTCATAGAATCAAAGATCTAGATATAATGTCTCGAAATAACTTCCGGGTGTAGATTAAAATTTTGGCCCGAATTAAGCTTTATTTAGGCTGAATTAAGCTTAATTCAGGCCAAAATTCTAATCAACACCCTCGGGCATAATTTCAAGACAACACAAAAAGTTCAGTTATTTTTGTATGCGTAAGACAGATTTATGCCTGGTTTCAAGAATGAGTATAAAGTCTAAGAAATTGAATTTTTAAATTTTGATTTAACAAATTAATTTCCATTAATCTATTATTACTATTATCATTATTATTACCAAATCATAGTGATGCTTTTTTTGTACAGAATCAATTTAAAATTATTTCTACATTAACGAGTTACTTTTTAAAAAGTATATCTTTATTTTCACTATTTAAGAACAAGTTAGCATATGCTACAAGAAATATTAATAAAGCATCATAGAAAGTCTAAATGCTATAGTTTCTATAAAAATAAAAATTTTTATTAATCATCTTTAATGCGTGCTTACATAAAAAGAATTATTAGTATATTAATTTATTTGTTCAAATAAAAACATATACTAATCGCTGTACATTTTAGTTTTAAACATTTTTAAATCAAGACTTTATTGTGAAAGCTATTTAATAGTGTTTTTAACAGTGGTAACTATTCCCCAACCATATCCGATATTCAATAAAATTGCCTTTCAGGCAAAGAAAATTTAGTATTATTAAGGGTATTTTAAGCAGATTTTCTTCGTAAAAAAACTTTCATACCTTATGCATCTCTTTAGTATTCGTAGCAGTCGTATCCTTAAGAAAAACAATATCATAATTCTTATCGAATGCACCTATAAAATATATTATTAGTATCATTTTCATTTTTTTAAAAATTACTTTTGTACTTACTTCTGGCAGTTGTCTCACAGCATAAATTTGTTTTAATACCAGAAATGATGAGTGTTTTTATATCCAGAGAAGTAAGAAGAGAATTAAGTTCAGTTTTGTAGAAAGTATCATAGCGAGTTTTACTTTGGATAGTAAAGTCAGATTGCTAAATTGCAGAGAAATTAATGTTCATGATATAAATAGATTTTCATGTGAATTTAAATATTAAAACTTACTTCAACAAGTGAATCTAGTTCTTTCAAAAGTTTTCACTTTTCAGATCCTCGCATTATCATTTCATCTCTGTCTTTCCACTTAAAAAATAATTGTTTTACTTTTTATTTTTATTTTCTGTGGTATTTATA